GCATCCCGGCAAACCATAAAGGTTTGGGAAAAATTAGGGATATATAGAAAAGATTGTACACCCGGCAAGTCGAAAACCTGAAAGGGCGACTTGGGCAAAAAAGGGTATCCTGGTGGACTGAAAACCCGAAAGGGCGGTCCAGGAAAAAGTCAAGGATTAAAGCGTATGACTATGTCCCGGTGGATCACTACAGCCAGTTTTATTACCAAGGTCAAAGTTCAAATGGTACAAGATAAATTCAATCAACTTCTTTCGACGACAATGGATGATGTTCAAAGACATAAGGGCAATAGCAGAGTTGGAACCTAATGAGATCACTTCCCCATGGCTATACATTTTTGTTTTCACTTTGTATTCGTTTCATTCTTTCGACGACTTCTTCTTACTAGGATTTTTTTCTCCCTGTACAAAAACGCCTGTTTATAGGCAAAATCTCAATACAAATATACTTTGAAATGTATACTTTTTGTTTTTCTGTTTTGATTGCAAAAATGTCCAATGACTAAAATTGAATGAACATATACATATGAACATTGATTAACTGTTAACAAATATAAGAACAAGAACAATAATAAGCATTTACTTAATGATTTGGGATATCCCCAAAGAGTCACTTCAATGGGATTATCCCCCCAGAGGGAATTCAAACATTCTCCATCCAAAGTTCCAATCAGCATATCTCCTGGAAATTCTCTTCCCCAGCCAAGATTGGTCTTCCAAAGTTTAGAAAGAAACCTTGCAAAAGTTCTTCCCCGATAAGGTTGCCAAAATACTTTCTTCAACAGAGTTTATTTCCCCAACGGACCACAACTCCCCAGCTTGATTTTGCTCCTCAGACTTCTACAAATATACGGACAAAACTCCTCTTTTCCAATAGAGTTGATATTATCCCCATAAAATTGCGGAAAAGCCTGGAATCCAACCGGATACCAGTTAACTTTATCCTCCCCAGACGAATCAGAAGTTTAGTCATCTTTTTTATCCCCATTCAGGGTATATAAGAATCAAATTCCCCGATAGAGCAATGGACGACCAAGGTTCCTGAACTCTAATCCCAAACAGAAATCAACATTCACTGCAAATTTTCCTCAAAACAGCAAACAAGAATTCCCAGCGGAAGCACTCTAAACAAGGTTGAAGATACACATACTCTTCGTCTCTAGCAGTAGTCCAGAGTTTAGCTTCCTAAAACTTCCCAACAATAGTCAGGGATTTATTTTCCCAGACAAAGATACACTTCAATAACATTTCATATTCATGCATCATGACATATGCACATGAAACATATAGCATAATCTCATTTATTTTGAGAACATCATTAAGCAATGCATTTCATACATCATAGCATTACATACAACTAACTCTTTACCTATTCAGGAAAAGATCAGTCCATAGATAAATACTATCAACAACAAACATTTCCTTCACGAGATATTTGTTAGTTCAGTTTAAATTGACCAGTGACTTATTTTGATTTCGTTCCAGTAGACACTTTCTCTGGTTTAGTTAAATCTCTCCTAAGATTTATGCTGATTTATTATCCAGTTAAAGATTATTCAAGACCTCTGCTGGTTCAGTTGAAATCAACCAATGATTTATCCTGATTCCGTTCCGGTAGACGCTTTCTTTGGTTCAATTAAATCGCTCTTAAGATTTATGCTGATTTATTATCCGGTTAAAGATTATTCGAGACCTCTACTGGTTCAGTTTAAATCGACCAATAATTTATCCTGATTTCGTTCTGGTAGATGCTTTCTTTGGTTCAGTTAAATTTCTCCTAATATTTATGATGATTCATTATCTAGTTAAAGATTATTCAAGACCTCTGCTGGTTCAGTTTAAATCGACCAATGATTTATCCTGATTTTGTTCTGGTAGACGCTTTCTCTGGTTCAGTTAAATCGCTCCTAAGATTTATGCTGATTCATTATCCAGTTAAAGATTATTCAAGACCTCTATTGGTTTAGTTTAAATAGACCAATGATTTATTCTAATTTCGTTCTGGTAGACGCTTTCTCTAGTTCAGTTAAATCGCTCCTAAGATTTATGCTGATTCATTATCCAGTTAAAGATTATTCAAGACCTCTGCTAGTTCAATTTAAATCGACCAATGATTTATCCTAATTCTATTCTAGTAGACGCTTTCTTTGGTTCAGTTAAATCGCTCCTAATATTTATGATGATTCGTTATCCATTTAAAAATTATTCGAGACCTCTGCTGGTTCAGTTTAAATCGACCAATGATTTATCCTTGTTCTGTTTCAGTAGACGCTTTCTCTGGTTCAGTTAAATCGAACATAAGATTTATGCTGATTCATACCCAGTCAAAGATAAATTTAGACTTTTGTTGTTTCAGTATCAATCAACCAAAGGTTTATTTTGGTACTTCTTCTAATCTATATTAACAGTCATTTTGGATGGCATCTATAAGCCCATCTATGATAACTCTCTATTACCTCTCCAAATGGCATCTTTAAGCCCATTCCCGATATGATCAACTAACAACATTACCCCATGCACCAACGAGTGCACATTTCTGGGCACTCTAGTGTTCAATCATCTTCCACCTTCAACTCACGAATGGAGGACACACCAAACTAACTCTTCAAGTTTAAGAAGATTGAACAGGGGAATCTGTTGTACCCTAAAATTTTCCCTCTCTTTTCTCAATTTGCACAAGAATTGGCTAAGTCAAATCACCTCCTACACTGAGGCCTCAAATTAGGGCTTTGATTTTCACAAGGACAATTGAACTTTTAATGCCCCAAATGATTTTCATGGTTCACTATAGACTTTTAAGAATACTCATGTCAAGTTTCAAGTCTTAGATCACAACTTTGTTCAGTCAATTGATTAAATGACTGAAAGTCAACAGTATTGGGTAAATAGTCAAATATGGTCAACCTACAATCGAAATTCAAGCTTTTTGACCAATATCAAAAATTTTGAAGTCATATTCATCAATTGATAAAGTTTGGATCACAATTCCTCAAGAAAAGTGTGCAAATCATCAAAAGGGCAAAATGGTCAAAATTAGAGTTTTTGATTAGAATGACTGATTTTTGTCTTTGGAGCTAATACATGACCTATTGGTTTAAAACATGATCTCAAGGATTCAACTACATCATTTTGACCTAATTGCATGACTCAATTCATCTCTCAAGATCAAACAATTGATAGATTAAATTTAGTCAACTGATGAAAAGTCATCTGATACACCAAAAGTCAAACTTTGACTCTTTGATCAAAATTAAGTTTCAAAAGTCAAGATTCATCAAGACATTAAAAAAATGAAGCTTGATCATCAAGAAATCAAGAAAGTCAAAAGTCAATTTAAAAAGTCAAACTTTTCAAGACATAGAAATTTTTTCGAAGTGTTTTTGTACATGATAATTTCACTACTTCATGCCAATTTTTCAGCAAGATAAAAGATGATCAAAAGAAAACTTTCAACATGAAAGTTGTAGATCCTGATGAAATCTAAAACTTTGTATCTGAGGGCTTATGTCGAAAAAATGCTTAGATTTTGAGTTATAGGCCCATGAAGTCATGCACTTTTTCTAAAACACTTAGTGAAATTTTGACCTAGTTTAGAAATATTTTTGTCCCAACTTCTTAGCCATTTTTCACATAGCTCCAATTTGATTTAGAAAAAGTGGAAAACATGAAATTTTTAGAGGATGTTTCAAGCTTTCCAAAATGTCCAAGAACATGAAGAGAGTCATTTTTGAGCTAATAGAATCGAAGAGAAGAAGTTGGGCATCCATTCTTGAATTACAAGTCATTTTTGTGATGAACACTTGATCAAAACCCTAGCCTATGCTTCATAACTCTACTTTGCAGGCTTTTAACTTGTGTTTCACTCCATAATTAATTCATTACACAACTGTTATAATCATTGTCCAAGAATTTGAACCATTATCCAAGTTGAATTTCCATTTATGGAACAAAGGCACCATTGCCATTCACTACAAGAAAATTGGCAGACTGCGACAGGTATTTTTGTAGATTATGACGGTTAAAACCGTCGCAATTTGCTTTCCACGACGGTTGCTTTACCGTCGCAGAAGTGTGTGTCCCCAACCTATTTCGCGACGGTTACAAAAACTGTCGTTCAAGTTTACGACGGGTTGATACCGTCGTGACTATCTTTTGAGTTTCTTTTAATTATTGATGGCGACGGTTCGATACTGTCGTGAATATCTTTTGAAATTGATTAAATTGTTTATGGCGACGGTTCGATACCGTCATGACTTTTGTTGATTACGACGGTTCGGTACTGTCGCCATGACTTTTGTTTATGTCTTGATTTTTTTTTATTTTTCTATTATATATATTTTTTATTTAAATTATTATCTATGTAAAAAATTTTAAATATAGTTTTTTTTTGTGTTATTTTTTTCTTTAAATTATTTCTTCTTTAATATATTTATTTATAGTATTATTTTTTGTTTTATTTTCTATCACTTTGTAATATAGTAAAAATAATTTCAATAAAAAATATTTAACATCAAATAAGCATTATAATATCCAAAAAAATGTGTGTTTCATAATCATGTAAAATGCGAGTTCCATAATCATGTCAAGTAGTACAAAAAACCCAAAATATATCAATTCCTAATCTTATAATAATAAGTATCATTATGCCAAAAATACATGAGAAAGTTCACAAACTAATTATCTCGATCATAGCAAAGTCTAATTTGTCCCCCCTGAAGTTCCATTATCTCCAATACGATAGCTAGACTCAGATGAACGTCTACCATCAGCGGGTGATTCCAATCCCTAAAAAAAGGTATTAAAATAATAATCTTTAAAATAATACTCATAAAATTTAACTTTAAATGCGTCAAATTAATATACTTGTCTTCCATTGGAATAGAGTTAGCAGTACCTCATGTAAAGGAAGGTTCAACCCAAGTTCAGACGAAGTTGATCGCAAATTGGCAAATCGTCGTAAATCCCTTTCGACTATACATGGAAGGATATATCCATCTATTTCATGAACCAACAATCAGCATTTCAAACAACTTCCAAATTTTCATCCAAGAGGTAGCATATACCAATTCTTGACTAAGACTAATGACATGACTCGGAGCACAAATTCTTGAGTTACAAGAATAAGCATTTGAAATTAGATAAAGTACATGTTCTCTCCGAAGGCCATTCGAAGTATACAGCGCATATATGATGGAGCTTAGTACGTTGAAATGGATACTGAGAATGAGCCCTACAGAAATTTTTGCAAATTCTTATTTTAAGTGCGTATCTAATTAGTAACCAGATTCAGAACTATAGCAGATAAACTTTACCATTAACATATAGCTTTCGTAGGTTCTGATTAGTATATTCTAAATTCCAATCAATATTGAGTATAGTAAAGGAACTGGAAGCAATGAATTAAATAACATACTTGAGCACAAAGTCTGAATCAGCTGAGTGGCATTTTGGCTTCAAATAAGCATCAATCACTTGTAAAATGGTATCGTCCTTTCCTATATTATTTTTAGCTCCTGCATAAACAAAAAAGATAGAAAAAATGATTAAAAAAAGTTGCAAAATGGAACTAAAATGCAATATAGATATGACAAGGGTATATATACCTTTTCTTTTTTTCACCCATCCAAGTCCTTCAGAAGCAAATTTTTTTAGAACATCTTTCTCCCCAATTGATTTTACTATCTGACAAGCTAACTCCTACAATACAACCATGGAAACAATCATGCAAAAGCACAAGCAACCATATAATATGTAAATATTCAACCCTGCTAAACAACAAGAGGTGAAAAGGCAAAAAGTAATATGATCATGAAGGATGTGTTTAAGGACTTACCGGACCTAAACCATGAACTCCTTGATGATAGTCACTGCCGAGAAGCAAAGAGAGAGCAATCTGAAGATCATGGGTTACTCGGTTACTGATTTTCACCAGAACAAGAACTCAATACCCTTGAATTTTGAATTGACAAGAAACAACGAAAGATCGTCTAAGAAAGCATTGTGACTCTTATGTTAAAACATCAATCAGAAATTTACCAATGAATCCCGTCCCAATCCAAGTTTATTTTCAATCTCTGCCATCTCATAACATACAACATATCCACCATCTCCTAACTCATTAATAAAAAAAAATTCTTGTAAGTCATATGAAAGTACAAAAAAATCCTTAGAACTTATACGAAAAATACAATTAGCACAAAAATATATTCAACAATAATATTTAAAAACGAAACCAAATGATATACTCACCAAGGCAGATTTCCCTGTACACTGTCCTTGCACCAAAGAGAAATATATCTGAATCTGAACTGAAACATCCATCCTATAATTCTCAACAATGAATGACAACAATCATGATATTAGCAAACAGCAATAGTACTAGTATCCCAAAAATAACTGATAATTACAAAGTAGACAAGTGCTTACGCATAATGATTCAGAGTTCAACAAAGCACACTGTGCTTCAGCTTCTTCAATCCTGCATTTTCGAAAAAGAGCAAGATGCTATCAGTTCAAATTGGTTCTTTAGCATCCATCAATGCAACTTGTTCAATCAACTTTCAAGAGGGCAGAATAAATCTGAACACCGCCAATATCACTGTGGCATTTACCAACAACTTCAACACCTGCTACTTAACTACAATTGAAACTCAAGTAACTTATTAACTATTGATTATATATCTATATCCAATGGCAACCATAAATACGAAGAACACACATTGTGTGGATTGCAATGTAACAAATTGGTCTTCTTGCCTTTCCCAAATAAAATGGTCCAGCCTTGAAATTCTTCTCAGGCATTACCATTCTTGCAAATATTGGAACTGCATAACCACCAACCCAACCAATTGTGCATATTGAAGTTATTGCAGTAAATACCACATTCACCTTCAATATTGGTAGACCAAGAAGAATGCATATTGCTGCACATAGCCATACATCATTTGTAGGAACCTTGTGCTTTGGATGCAATTTTCGCCATAGGAACGAAAACGGCACTCCCTTATCTCTTGACAGTGCATAAACCTGAAAATTACATTGTTTAAGATAAACTCAAATAAATCAATCAAAATCAAAAAGGCTCGTAGGGTCGTAGTACTTACGACTCTGGCAGCGCTTGTGGTGATTGAAAGTCCACCAAAGAAGAAAGAACCCCAAATTATAAATAGTAGAACTATTGCTCCTGCAGAATTGTGATATCTTCCATGGAATGCATCATACAATATCTGTGCTGGCACAAATGCTCCAGCAGTCTTATTGTTTGGATCATAAAGATAAGCGAAATCCTGAATCAGAGATGGAAACCGGTGTTAATTATCACTCTTCTGTCAAAAACTGAAGTGTTAATTGGTTGATTATATTTATTTATACCTGAATGCTGAATGTGAGTGCCAAGATATAAGCCCAACCAAATACTGAAATGATGGCAAGACTACCTAGTATTGCAATAGGTCCGTTCTTGTCTGCGCCTTTAGTTTCTTCGGTTAGATGCGCTGCAGCATCGTATCCATAGAGGGAATATTGGCTCACAAGAAACGATAGAATCACCGCATACGGTTTGCTTGATATTCCTGTTGTATTAGGTGCTAATTCAAAGTTTGTGAATACATATGAAGCTGATTGTGTAGTTAGTGCCACTAGAGGTAACATTATAACTATCACTGCTCCACCAATAACCTGTCACAGTAAAAATGATTATGAGTAAATTGTGATGTACATTTTAGAGTCAAGATACAACGCATTCACTGTAATCAGTAAGTTGGAATAGTTAGATAAAGAAGCAAAAGTACCTGCCACCATATTGAAATTATATCGATGAAGGCGATAACTTCTAACGCAAATGTGTTCAATGCTGCCCAAATAACAGTGAGGCCAATGTACATACATAAGAATAGCCATTTCGGGGCAAAGTACCCTCCGCCTTTATTCGTGCCTGTCGAGAGTAGGATTATACTCTGCAATATTTGTGATCCTGCATACGCCTCCCGTGCCGCTAAAACCACAATTGGCTCCGAAGTACTAGATAAATCAATGTCCAAGCTTCGAGGCAGCTCTTTCTCAACATCATAACTCCCCTTTGCCTTATTAAGCAAAGACACGTGGAAGACAGGGTGTGTCTTTGCTGTGGCTGGTTGCTGCAGCTTGTAAGCCACCTCTCCAATTCTAGCTAGCCAGCAACATAAATGGACCATAATAACGTGGAGCGAACTTGGGACTGATGCGCACCTCTACTGACTGCTGAACACGCGGATGCAATTTCAGGAAAACCCAATCACGAACTTGAAACTACATCATTCCTGTGAGCATCAGCTAAAGGTTTCATTCTAACTTGAGCACGGTGCAAATGAAATTTCAACTGGCGTAAGCACTCATCAAGATCCATTAAATCCCTTCAATCAACAATATGTAGGTTTTTTCAGTTCATACCGTTGAAAGTTTCAGTTCATATGTGAAACCAAATATTTGATAGACATAATCAATGAAGTCCAAGGCTTTTCTCACTTCATCTTTAACCTGCAAAATGAATTAATAGAATAATTTCAGCTTCACCTTAAAAGATATCATAAAAATTATATTACATAAATTTACGTTAACACACCTGGGACTCCCTGCAGAAAATATGTGCATCATCCTGTCCAACACACAAAGTAAAGGGCATAAACAATACAGAACTAATAGTATAGAAAATAGAAGTTAAAGACAAGGTGATAATCAGTCAAAATAGCTTGCAATGTTCCTCCTATTGTAATTGTACCATACCTTTAGATAAATGAAGAATATCATCATGAGAAGAGAAAATTTGATAATTTATCTACACTAACTCACATCCACATAGGGAATATAAGAGTGGCTTCGCTTGGTGGTAGGGTGGAGGAGATAAGGACGGGAGTGAAAAGGAGGTTGGAGGTCTGATCCCCATCCAAACATAAAACTAACATTTTTTGTTTTAAAAAATACTACCATTCACACCATAAATACAACCCCACAATTGGGGTGCTCCAATATTTACAATAGAAGCAACTATAAATGTAATCAAGATAAAACAAAGAAAACTGGTCCCTTCCACAGTTCCAACAAAGATTTACCTGCTGAAATCTCCTAACACGTGTTAATCCACTTAGGGCACCACTGGCCTCATTTCGATGCAAAACCCCAAAATCAGCAAAACGAAGAGGAAGTTCTGCAAAACCATAACAGTGTTGTGAGATGATATTTTATACAAAAAACATCAGCTCTACCTAAAAATATCCAAACAAAAATGGAAACTAAATTATCTCAACCTCCCATCGCACCAAAATTATAATTTTTAGTCTATTTCCAGTTCAATTTTTGGACATGATTGAAAAATTCTTGCTCTTTATCCCAAAAGGATTCTATATGGAAGAATACAGCTTATTAATAAACCAATTCCTTGAGCTATATGTGAATATGTAAGTAAGAGGGAAGATGAGACCATGTAAAATAACACTGGACATGTATTACTCAATTTAGGCATATTCAAATGAAAATGTTAATCCATTAACCAAGTAGCTCAAACAGATGCATTATCCTGATTTCAACAATATATTCTGGACTAGCTCAGCCACCATAAGTATAGAAATAAAAGATGTTATTTAAAAACATATGTTTATGCAAATGAAAATTACCTCTATATGAACAAACTCTGTGTTTAAACATCAAGCAGTGTCCTGGGCAATTCATTGGTTACAATCCAAATTCTTGTTTGTCAACCTAAAACACACAATATTTATAATTTGGATAGATAAATTAATTGTGTTCAAAATAATCAACCTATTATGAAGGTTTTGTAGAAAAATTCTTTAAAAAAAATTATCATACTAATACTTCTCCATTTCGCTCTTAAAAACTATCTACAAACAGTGACATATTTAATCTAATAATCAAATCAAACCTTAAAACAACAAATTAGAAAACCTAAAAAATCATAAAAAGAAATAAAACCCTAAAACAACAAATTAGAAAACCTAACATCAATTCAATATATTCAAACTCAAAATCAATCATCACAAAGAGCTCAACCATAAGATTCAAGTGAATCTCCAATGCTGAAATCAATGGCAGAGAATGAGAGAGATGAGAACAATGCAAAAAGTGATACATAAAACTTACTGTGTTTGAAGAGATGAACACAGAGGATGTTAAACTGCTTGCTGTGCGTTTTTTGGTGTGAAGATGAGCGGTTTGAAGAGATTCCTTTTGGTGTCAAGGGGTTTCTTTCGGTGTGAAGAAGAACGGCATGAACGGCACCGTGAGTAGAAAAGTGAACGCAGGAGTAGAAAGTGAATTGATGTTTTAAGAGCTTTTTAACTTTATTACGGCGACGAGTGTTTTACCATCGTGCCCATGAGAATTTTTAAAGGTTTTGGGTGCGACGGTTGTTTTACCGTCGTGAAATGAATTTTAGGACGGATAATTTTACCGTCGTGAAAGGTTTAAGGGTGCGACGGGTGCTTTACCGTCGTGATATGCCTTTTAGGACGGTTAATTTTACCGTCGTGACTAGTTGTTGGTGAAAAATCAATGTTAAAAGTGTTAAATGGGGGCCGACGGTTGTTTTACCGTCGTAATAATAATATTATGATGGTTAAATATACCGTCGCAAAATAAATATTAGGGAAGGTTGGTGTCAACTGTCGTAAACACTGTCTCTATATGTCAATTACGACAGTTATCACATAATTGTCGCAATTTTCGTGTCGTTAAACACTAATTTTCTTGTAGTGATTCTTGAAAAGTTTCTTTAATCACAAAGTTGAGCATTTCACTTGTTCTTTCTACACAAGCATCCTCTACAAACTCAGAAAAAATATGTTTAAAGATGTTGTGAACCAGGATATGGAATTCTTCAAGATACTGGAGCAATAATTGGAGATTCTTGCTCCACTGTGGATATAAGAACACCTAACATCATTAGGCTGTATGCTGAGGATATGGAAGTGACTTTATAGTAGGATGCCCGGCCTCTGCACTTGCTGGAGAAAGTATTTACGGGGATTTTGTGGATGGCTTTTAGACATTGTCCCGTTTCTTAAAGCCATCAATAATTGTATTTCTGTTTTTTATGCATGTATTTGTAAATGGTAATCACATTCAAATGCATATGTTCAAAAATAATCACTGGACGTTTTCACAAATAAAATAGAAAAATAAAAAACAAATAGTTTTGCACTTTCAAAGAGATAGTTTTGTATTAATTTGAATGTGTTTTGCCTATAATAGGTGTTTTTGTAAAAGGAGATGGACTTCCTAGTAATAGAATACCGTCGTAAGAAAGCTATAAAAATAGTATACAAAGAAAAACAACTATGTGAAGTAATCCCATTGATTTCCCATTCTACTATTGCCTTTATGTCCCTGAGCATCTTATCTCTTTTGTTGGATGTCCAAAGCTGATTGGATTGATTAGTACCATTTGAGCTTGATAGTTGATACCGAAGATTGGCTGTAAGGCGATCCAACAGGACATAGTTATACGCTTTAAAATCCCTAACTTTTTCCTGGACCGCCCTTTCGGGTTTCCAGTCCACCGGGATACACTTTTTTTCCCAAGCCGCCTTTTCAGGTTTTCGGCTTACCGGGTGTACATATTTTTCCATGTGTATATCCCTAATTTTAATCCGAACCCTTTTGGTTCGCCGGGATGCCCTTATTTTTGCATAGGTCAGTCAACTTAGCGGGTCTTTGTTCATGCATAGTATCTTTTAACTATGTCTGCGTTTAAAGGGTGTGGAAAGTCATCACCGTCCATAGTGGTTAAGATCATGGATCCACCAAAAAATATGTTCTTGATCACAAATGGCCCTTTGTATGTATGAGTCTATTTGCCCCTGGGATCACCTTGCAGCAGTATGATACGCTTGATTACTAGGTCCCCAGCCTGATATACCTGACGTCTGACCTTTTTGTTAAAATCTCTAATCATACGTTTTTAGTACATCTGACCATGGCAGACAGTCGCAAGACTCTTCTCATCAATTAGGTTTAATTGATCAAGTCGAGTCTGAACCCAATCGTTTTCATTCAAACCTGCATCCTTCATTATTCTCAAGGAAGGGATCTGGACTTCGATGGGCAAGATCACTTCCATATCATATACCAAAGAGAAAGGAGTTTCCCCTGTTGATGTGTGCAATGTGGTACGGTAACCATGAAGAGAAAATGGTAACATCTCGTGCCAGTCTTTGTATGTCACCGTCATCTTCTGTATGACCTTTGGCCGGTAAGGAGAATAGTCATGATGTTGGATCTTGAATTGTGTGTAGAACTCGGTGATCATGGTATTATTGAGATTGGTACCATTATCCGTAATGATTCTTTCTGGAATACCGTATCGACATATAAGGTTATGTCTGATGAATCGGGCCACAACGTTCTTGGTAACAGAAGAAAATGAGGCTGCCTCAACCCACTTTGTGAAGTAATCAAGGGAAACCAGGATAAAGCGGTGCCTGTTAGAAGCTGTAGGTCTAATCTCTCTAATCATATCAATTCCCCACATTTTGAATGCCCATGGAGAAGTCAAGACGTTTAGAGGAACCGGAGGCACATGTACTTTATCACCATAGGTCTGGAACTTGTGACAAGTTCGTGAATGCTGATAATAGTCTTCTTCCATAGTGGACCAGTAGTATCTTGCCCGTAGGATCTTTTTAGCCATTGTATTCCCACTAGAATGGGTGCCAAACGTACCTTCGTGCAAATATGCCATAATCTTCTCTGCTTCACTCTTGTCTACATACCATATCAAAGTGGAATCATGATGGCGCTTGTAGAGAATTACGTTACTGAGGAAGAACTTGGCAGAGAACCTTCTTAGGAACTTCTTGTCATTAAATAAAGCTCCTTCAGGATACTCTTGGGCTTCGAGGTATCTTTTGACTTCATGGAACCATGGTTTGTCCACTACTTCTTCAGTATTAACCTCGTAACAGTATGCTAGTTCATTCATTCTCTCAATAGTGGTTAGAGGAGCCTCATTATCCCACCTGACCTTGAACATGGATGACATAGTAGCTAGCGCGTTCGCTAGTTGATTTTCCTCTCGTGGAAAATGCTCAAAGGTAACTTCTTCAAAGTGTGGAATCAGTGTCAACACATGCTCTTTGTAAGGGATGATATTAGGATGCTTCGTGTCCCATTCTCCTTTGATTTGAATGATTACTAAGGTCGAGTCTCTGAATAAACTTAAGAATTTGATCCTCAAGTCGATAGCAGCTTTGAGACCCATATTGCATGCTTCATATTCAGCCATATTGTTGGTACAATTGAAACATAGCTTGTCAGTGAAAGGAGTATGACAGCCTTTGGGAGATATGATCACGACATCGATACCATTGACAAGTGCGTCGGAAGCTCCATCAAAAAGCATAGTTCATCGGGATCCTTTCTCAGATCCTTCATCCAGTCTAGGTTCTTCATAATCAGTTACTAACATGATGTTCTCATCCGGGAACTCAACATTCATAGATTGGTAGTCATCCACAGCCCGATGAGCCAAATGATCAACTAGTACACTTCCTTTAATTACTTTCTGGGTTGTATACTGAATGTCGTATTCGGTCAGGATCATTTGCCATCTTGCTATTCTTCCGGAGAGAGCGGGCTTCTCAAAGATGTACTTGGTAGGATCCATTTTAGATATCAATAAGGTAGTGTGAGTCAACATGTACTGTCTTAGTCGGCGAGCTGCCCATGCCAAAGCGCAACAAGTTTTCTCGAGAAGTGAGTAATCTTGTTTCACAGTCGGTAAACTTTTTGCTAATGTAGTATATTGCATGCTCTTTTCGACCAGACTCGTCATGCTTCCCCAACACACACCCCATTCAATTTTCCAATACCGTTAAGTACTTGATCAGAGGTCTCACTTCAACCGGCGGTATCAAAATTGAAGGCTATTGAAGATATTCCTTGATTTTGTCAAAGGCGATCTGGAAATCGTCATTCCACTTCAGTGCTTGATGATTATTCAGTAATTTGAAGATTGGTTCACAAGTAGCGGTTAGATGGGAAATGAATCTGGCAATGTAGTTTACACATCCCAAGAATCCCCTAACCTCCTTCTCAATGCGAGGAGTTGGAATTTCTTGTATGGATTTAACCTTTGTGGGGTCTACTTCAATACCTTTGCCACTGACAACGAAGCCTAAGAGCTTACCAGATCTTACTCCAAAGGTGCACTTATTCGGGTTTAGTCTCAGTTTGTACTTTTTCAGTCTTTCAAACAGCTTTTGCAGGTGATCAAGGTTATCCCCTTCAGTTTCAGACATGGTTATCATATCATCAACGTAGACCTCTATCTCGTGATGGATCATATCGTGAAACAAAGATACCATGGCACGCTGATAGGTTTCCCCAGCGTTTTTAACCCAAATAGTATAACTTTGTAGAAGAAAGTGCCCCACTGCGTGACGAAGGTTGTTTTCTCCATATCTTCAGGCGTTTATTTAATCTGATTGTACCCGGAGAAACCATCCATGAAGGAGAATACATTATGTTATGCGATGTTGTCAACTAGAATATCAATATGGGGAAGTAGAAAGTAAACCTTGGGGCTTGCCCTATTTAGGTCCATGTAATCCACGCGCATGCGTACTTTACCGTCCTTCTTAGGTACCGTAACAACATTAGAAACCCATTATGAATAAGAGGTAACAACT